GGGGAGGGGAGGGGAGGAGAAGCAGGGCGGAAGGAAGGGAGAGGAAAAGGTAGGGGAGGGGAGGGAGGAGGAGGAGGAGGGTGGGAGGAAGGGAGAGGAAAGGTCGACAGAAGAAGAGTCATGAGAGTAGGATGCCTAGACCGGTCTACACGCAAAGACAGGAATAATGAAAGCAGTTTTAAGCTTCCTTTCAGCATGATTATTTATTTGTGTTTTTTTTTGGAGAAAATGTGTGGTCAAAATGGATGATATGATTCGTCTAAGGGCATGCTCACTTGGGAGTTTCCTGGACGTATCTAACCGCAATCACGATCAGATTCTCTCCAGAAAGTGTGGTCAAAAGGAGCATATGAGAGGGAGGACGGCGGAGAGTGGGCATACTCTTGTAGAGGTTCCTGGACGTACATGACCGCAATCACAACCAGATTCCTGGACGTACATGACCGCAATTACAACCAGATTCCTGGACGTACATGACCGCAATGACAACCAGATTCCTGGACGTACATGGCCGCAATTACAACCAGATGTGGTCCATGAAGCGCGGTCCAAAGAAGCATAAGAGCGGGGATAACAAGGAGAGTGTCTAGGAGCATACACACGTAAGAGTTTCCTGGACGTATCTGACCGCAATCACGACCAGATTCCGTCCCAAAAGTGTGGTAAGCAGACGATCAGGGACGAACACGTGGCAGGCAAAGTGGATCAACAAGTCGGCCTGTCGCTGCTTCCCTTACCAACTTACAATTACGCAAAACAAATCAAATTTAAATAATCGTAAAACGAAAATAGCACTCATTCTCGATTGCACCCTTCTCCTGACAATCGACACATGACACTTGGCAGCTTCATGCCATTCAAATGCCACGTCATCGGCCGGGCAAAATTGAGCCTGTGTGAAAAGAAATTAAAAAAATTGCAATTTCCGCATCTTCCATGCTTCCTGGATTATTAGATTTGAGTCCACTTAATAAAAATCAGATCGAAAAGTCAAAAAAATAAAAGAAAAGAATCGTCCACAAACACATGAATATTGCATCTCATACCCCATTCAATTGTCACGTCATCAGACGGGCAAAATTGCAAATTGAGCATCTTCCATGCTATCTGGATTTTATTAGATTTAAGTCCACTTAAAATCATATCGATAAATGAAAAAAAAAAAAAAAAAAAGAATCGTCCACAAACAGATCAATATTGATATTCTGTCATATACACAAAAAAAAAAACGATGTAATCAAGGGTACAATAACATAACAGCTTGGAAATAAATCTTTAAAAAAAACGGTCTATACGCCTTTCAATGTCACGTCATTAGAGGGGCAAAATTGCAAATTGAGCATCTTCCATAGATAGATTATTGGATTCAAGTCCGTGTAGAAATCAGATCGATTAAAACAAAAAAGAACGTCCACGAACATATCAATACTGATATATATATAAAAAAGGTGTAATCAAGGGTACAATAACATAACAGTTTGGAAATAAATTTTGAAAAAAAGGATTTATAAATAGATTTTTCATTAACTAAAATAATAACAATAAAATAATCAGTATAGCATAGTGCCAATTGCTGCATCATCTACCATTTCCCATAGCGCTTGTATCCCAAATGAGAGGAAGGGACAGAAGAAGGGAAGGCCAGCAAAGCAGAGAAAGGCAAAAAAAGGAAAGAGAAGGAAAGAGATTACAGGAAAAGGAACAAAGAAGAGAGATGAGAGAGGAATGGAGAGAGAAGAGTGAGCGAGGGAGCGGACAAGGAACAGAGAAAGTAAGTAGAGGAGAGGGAGCGAGGAGAGGGAGAGGAGAGAGCGAGAGACGAGAGGGAGAGGAACGGGAGAGAGTAGCGGGAGAGAGGAGAGGGAGAGAGTACGTAGAGAGAGAGGGAGAGAGTACGTAGAGAGAGAGGGAGAGAGGGAAGAGGCGAGACAAAGAGAAACAGAAGAGTGGAGAAGAGAGAAAACGATAGCGTACTCCATGAGATAGCCCTACCGTCTTCCATCTTCCCCCGAATAGAAGGCACTGTCATTATCGCTGTACCTAGACCGACAGTAACCCCAAATGCAGCTATCATGACAGACAAGAGGTCGGACAAGAGACAATGGATGAGTGGGCGTGGCGCAGATAGTACAGGATAGTCGACATAGTACAGGATAGTATAGT